TGGTATTTGTTGTTGTTATTTTATGTGTATGCCTTGTTAGACTATCCGACTGCATAATTTAAGTAATATTAACTCGCTAAAATAAAGCGTGCTAGTTTGCCTTTGCAATGGAAACATGATACCAAACTCCTCCAAGAGATTAGTGATTTCTTACTTGTCCGGCAAATATGAATACAATGTAGAACACAACCTGCGACTGTCTCTGAATGATTACGAGTCACTTCATGATTCGTCATATGTAGTATCCACTGACACTTAATGGATTTCGTGAACAGCCTTAGCCAGTTATTAAAGTGGAAAATGTGTTCAAGTATATGTTTCTTGTTCCATTAGCTATATGCCGAATTGAATGGGTGTTTGTGCCAATGCATTAGATGCCCTTATTAATATTGCAGCCTGTATGCACACATGTAAAACAAGGTCCGCGCGGCACATTCTGGACACAAATATGTTTTTAACATGTTTTGCTCTCTAGAGACACAACATGAGTAAGAGGAAGGTGAAAAATGATCATATGCCAGTAGGAGAATGCATCACACAGGTTTGTATCAACCAGTAATTGTGTATTTACAAACAAGAGCTAGTGAATGGCTGTAGTATATACTACAGTTCCTTTATTCATGTTTATTTTCAGGTGCAGAAGATTTTAAGGGAGCGCCTTTGCCACCAGCAGCTCCCCCAGAAGCTGGTGGGAGTAGAGGCTCAACACAAGTAGGTTTATTTGACTGAATCTGGTGAGGGCATCTGAAATGGTTTCTACTTTGACATATTATTTCTAACTGGAGGAGCACTATGGGCATTGCAGTCAAACCACTGTGTTTCCAGACACCTCCTGGAGCTGCTGAAGCGGACGGCCATCCACGGGGAGAGTAACTCGGTGCTCATTGTTGGGCCCAGAGGAGCAGGGAAAACAATGGTGAGCCCCTGTAGTCAGGGTAAAATAGGCTTCTGGGTGGAAATGGTTGAAAAAGATGATAAATTGTGTTGAACTATACTTGTATGTAATGTCTAGTGTCTGTGTTTTTGTGTCTGCAGCTGCTGAAGTGTGTGTTGAGAGACCTGTTGGAAGAAAAAGAAGTGCAGAAAAACCTTCTACAGGTTTATCTCAATGGTACAGACTCTGGTTCCTCATTCATTTCTGGACTGGTTCTTTCTTATGACCACAGAACATATTGCACCAGGGTTTATACAGAAGTGAGAAATAAACTTAGATTTTTTTTAGTTAAGCTACTAAAATGATTCAGTTACACTTAATAATGTCTGGTTGAATTTCTTGCCTGTTTTCTGCAGGTCTCCTGCAAACAGATGATAGAATTGCACTAAAAGAAATAACACGGCAACTCCATCTGGAAAATGTTGTTGGTGACAGAGTATTTGTAAGTATTTACCAAGAGTCTTATGAACATCTTTGCCACTAATAATGTAATAAAAGTGCTTCAAAAACAGGTCTGTTTCATTTCAGGGAAGCTTTGCAGAGAATCTGGCGTTCCTGCTGGATGCACTGAAGAAAGGTTAGAAAATGTTACAGCGCTGAACAATTGGCACAGATTTTTGCAGAGTTTGAAACTAAATTATACAAATTCAAGGCCATTAAGTCTGATGTGTAATAATATTTGCTTTTTTGGTCCCATCTAGGCGATCGCAGCAGCAGTTGCCCAGTGTTGTTCATCCTGGATGAGTTTGACCTTTTTGCTCACCATAAGAACCAGACTCTGCTCTATAACCTGTTTGACGTCTCCCAGTCTGCCCAGGCACCCATCGCTGTGGTCGGCCTCACCTGCAGACTGGTGCGACTCAAAATCTGATTCAAAATGGACGGCAAACCGTCTCCATCATCTCAAACATTTTTTTTAATTGTTCATTTCCATTCAGGATGTTCTGGAGCTGTTGGAAAAGCGTGTGAAGTCGCGGTTTTCCCACCGTCAGATCCACCTCCTGAGCAGCCTGACCTTCTCTCAGTACCTAGATCAGGTCCAAGCACAGCTCAGCTTGGCACATGATTTTCCTGACACCAAGTTTGCTGAGGATTGGAATGCTGGCATCAAGGTGAACCAAGGAACTGATTTTGGTTCCATTTTAGGCAAAACAAAATCAAATGGGAATAAATCAAAGATGCCAGTTTAGGTGCTCACAATCAGATTTGATTTTGAACATCATTTTGTAGATGTTAAATTGACCTCCTGGAGGCACATCAAGGTTAAAATGTGATGTACTGAAAGCTACTACACCAGCAGTTGGATTTTACAGAAACATGCAGCAACAACACGACTTGTAGCATCACTTGTTCGACATGTTTCACTTGTCTTCCCTTTGTTTTTATTTCCCCAGACTCTGTGTGAAGACAAATCAGTTGAGGAGGTTTTACAGAAACACTTCAACTCTAGCAAAGACTTCCGCTCAAAGCACATGTTGCTGGTGAGAGCAACACACAGATTGTGTTTTGTTACAAACTTCATCTGCCATTTGGTTTGACAAAGGCGATCTGAATCAGCATAAAACAAGAACACACTATGATTAGCATGTGTCAATCACGCTTGTACTTGTGTAATACTTCAAATTAAGGTACAGGTTTAGCTAAACAGAAGCAAAGTTTGATTAAAAGACCTTATTGAGAGATGTTGTTTCTTACAGATGTTGTGTCTGAGTCGTGTCTCTGTAGCCAATCCTGCCATCAAACCCGCTGACGTCCTGGAGGCCAGCAGACTGTGTTTAGCTGATGCCAAGGCTAACATGCTTCATGGTAACGTCAGAAGGAACAGAGAAATGTCTTTGGGCACACACTCCAGAAAGTCTATATCAGTTATAGCTGTGTTTCTCTTTTTAGGCCTGTCCATCTTGGAGCTGTGCCTGATCATTGCCATGAAGCACCTCAATGACATCTACGAAGGAGAACCGTTCAATCTCCAGATGGTTCACAATGGTACCACCTGATCCAGTTTCACTTAGTTTATGGTTTTCATAAAGCACATAGGAGAAAACTGGACACTGAAAACCTCTCAAACGAGATGTGAAAAGCAACAGGCATTCAAAACATATCGCAAGTCATCACTGTGAAAGGTTTTCTTGACCTGCTTACATGTCCTGTTTTTTAGAGTTTAAGAAGTTCCTGCAAAGAAAGTCAAACTCCATGTACAACTATGACCAGCCTGTCGTCATGAAGGTCAGTAGGAACACTATCAAAAAGCTTTTCGTTTAGAGATTTCCTGCCACCCACACCAAAACTATTTCATTCCTGCCTTTGCTTATACAACCCTCAGGCTTTTGAGCACCTGCAGCAGCTGGAGCTGATCCGGCCTGTTGATGGCTCCTTGGCCAAAACGCAGAGGGAATACCAGCTCATGAGACTCATGCTGGACCACAGTCAGATCATGGAGTCCCTGCAGAAGTATCCACAATGCCCCACTGATGTCAAGCAGTGGGCTATGTCGGCGTTCGGCTAGGACTCTGCATGGACGTTTTTTTCCCAGTGCTGCAGCAGCAAATAGATGGAACAAATTAATACATAAGTTTGTGAGGCTTGTCTTACATACAGATACTGGACTGGACTGAATACCAGGTGAAATGTCAAGTCAAAATAATCTGAAATGGAAAGGAGCACTACAGCTGTTATAGCTGCCAAGGAGGGTAACTCTGGTATGTCAGACTGTTACAGCTACAATTGCGCTTATGTTTCATGTTAGGAGGACTTCTCCTGTACTCAGAAAATCAACCATTCAGAATATTGACCTGTTTTCCAGCAACGTGTAGACTGTCAAAGCAGGCTTTTCCTTTAGGTTTATGGGTTTTGAATTACTCCTTAAATAGAAAACTGAAGCAGTTTAAAAATGAAAGGTTTCACCAGAATGTCTTGATAAAATTGAATAAAACAAGACAACTGTTACCTGCAGTTCTCTCCTTGAAAATCACTGAAAAGTGCTGGAGTTTGGAAACTGGTGTCACCTGCTGGATGCTGCCATCTGGTGGCAGATGTAGAACTGCACCAGTGGAGGTCAGCATGAACCTGGGCAGGAGCTACAGAGACCCTTCCAATAGTTTTTAAGTTTGATATAATCATTGGCACCTTATTTTGTAAACTGCCTACCAAAACAGAACCTTATTTTACAGCAACATTTATGTCATAACATTTCCAAATAATACAGGAGAAGCTTCCTGGAAAGGAGGATGTAATTTGGTATTGATTATATGGAAAACAGGGAGTGTGTTCAGTTAGACTTGTAACCTAGATCATCTTGTAGTCACTGCAGGTGAACTTCACATCCAACACTGCGGAACTGGTCTACAGGAAAGCATCCGATTAAACATACACAGTCAAGTGTTGAATAACAGATAATGAGTTAGTTTGTTTTAAACCGAGCTTTTCTTGTAAGGAAATTCCCATTTTCCCTTAAGTGGGAACATATCACATAGTTCTTCCTCAGGGAACTTTGGAGGAAATTGTCACTGAATTACAAACTTGTAAAATAAAGTGCTTGTAACTAAAAACTGCAGTTGTCAGATGAACAGGAATAAAGCAATCTCAGACTGTGATTTAGTCAGTGAAACAAAGAAAAACATCTGCATTCACAATCTAAAAACACATTTATTTACATCACATGGATCACTTTAGCTGATAAAAACCACAGCTGGCTAACATTAGCCTTGAGTCACAGCGCTGATCCAGGACCAGTTTTGTCTCTGATTAAATATCCAATGTTTTTTTCTGTTATAATACTCTTCTGTATTCCTCCCTTGTCCCTACACTGGGAGGTCAAAGGTCAAGGGGGGATGTATTTACATTTTCTAGTTTGAGATTCCAGAGCTACTTGGCCTATTTACACATTTTTGTAGTCACGTGTATCAGGTGTAATGAAACAGGACATTGAGATTTTTTATTTTTAAACACAACCCACTGACCAAAAAGACTAAAGATGAGATAGTCCAGCCTTGAAACCCAGAAACTCTGGGAGCATCATTACCTCTACAGGCTGTGTTGGTAGATTCTGGATCAGCGCTGCAACTGGAGAGCCTGGAAAAAATGTGGGGTCAAAAATGCATGTAGTGTTTGTTTCTCTGTAGAAATATCAGGCCTGGCAACCGGACTTATCTTGCTGTCAAGACAGTCCGAGTGGCGAGGTCACTGGAGTTCAATGTTTCCTCTAAAATTCTTACCAGCAGTGAAAAAAAGCAGGTGATCGAGATGCTGGAATGAAATACCTGTTGTAGATGACTATTATCATATATGGAATATTGCAACAGCTCCAATCAAGTGCTTTCTTGCTTTCCTTAAGTACTCCAATGAGCCTCTGGCTTTTAGCTTGCACAGAGCTCAACTTTTCGCATACTGCAGGACAACCTCTTGACACAGCTAGGCTGGGCCCTGCTGCCAGGTGGAAACAAGGGAAGTATAAATGAATGTAGAGGAAACACTGAAGTTTAACACACACCTACTGTATAAAGAATCAGCTCAGAGTATATAGTTGATACAGGTACTTATGTTCTCATGTCTGTACATTTCCTAGACTGCTTAAAATAGTGGGGGCAACAAGACAAATGTTTCACTGGTAGTTTATACGCACAGCAATGTGAGGTGCCGGGCTGGAGGAAGTCGAGAGAGAACAAGGTAAAGCCAGCGCACTCAGGAAACCCATTCATACACCTTAAACTGATCAAGTTCAGACTGGACTTTTAGTTGAGTGAGAACAGGTTTATTCTGAGGGGAAATCGATCTGTCATTTGTTCTGAGGTCGTCTCACCTGCCTTAACCAAGGCAAATAGAGCCATAGATTTATTTTGGATAAACTGAAAAACCTTTATAAAATTAAGGCGCCTGAGAAGAAGGTTGTGGAGATTTGGCTGCTGCACTGATGTCTGACTGAGGCTCAAAGGAACGAGGAAGGCCACAAACTTCACGACTCTCCATGGGAGCTTAACAAATTTAGCCTTTACTGTTTTCTTGTCTCTCTAGCTGGACTGTGCTTTTGGCCCGCTAGTTCACCTCCTTTACAGCAGCTACTGCTTCACACCTCCAGAAGGTAACCGCACAACCAACAGGTGTATGAATGCTTCTTTGAGTGCTTCAGTTTTACTTGTTTCTACAGCGACAGGGCACAATCACACGAAACCAGCCAAACACAAAGCCCTCTAAAGTTACACAGGGCCGGGCTCAATCCACCAAAATACACACAATACTGGAATCCAGGAGTCTGAAGAACATTCATTCTCGGTTGTTTGTCCATACACTGAATAGAAACAAGCACGTTATAGTTTATATTTTTTCTTTTTGAATTACTGAAAGTGTTTCCTGAATTACAACCGAGCACCCACCCACAACACCCCAACAACCAGAAATCGTGCCAACTCTTACAACTTGATTCCGAGTTGCACCTGAGCTCTGATCCCCAAACCCCCAGGCCTGTAAATTGAAAAATAAATACAACATATCAATATGCAAGGTCACAGATAAAAAAAAATTAAAATGCTACAAGTTATTTGTGTTTGTGTATATTGAAAGTCACTCCTGCAGCTGATCCTACAGAAGTGTAGGGTAGTTTACAGCACTGGTTGCATATAACTCGCTAGAACTTAGAAAAGCATAGTACTGAATCCCTGAATGGTATTTGGTTTGGGTTGGTTTCTCAGGCGCAATTTAAACTGAAGCGGTCAAACACTGAACATCTTCCACTTTGTCTACCCACAGTACTGGGATGTGGCTGCCACCCAAATGCTGGTGTGTTTTGTTTTGTTTTGCTGTGGCTGATAGACTTATCGACTCTACCAGTCAGTTTGGCAGGTAACCAACCAACATTTGGAGGCTGTTTTTAAAAATCCACCTGGCTGCTGAAATACTGGTGAATAAGTTTTGCATTTAAGGACACAAACTTGGGGATGAAAAAGGATAATACTGGTGTTTTCCCTTTACACCTGTGCCACTCGGTGAAGCCTTCTGCTATCATTATACAGTCATGAAAAACTGCCACAGAACAAAATAATGCATCAAGGTCAAAACGAGGAAGCTTCTTTTTAGTCATCATATCATACTTGGGGGGGGGAATGGGATTTTACTCAGAAATAATCCACCCAACTAGCACTTTACCAAAACTCAAGAACTTGTGAATTTGAATCCCTTTTCTGGTAGAGGAACCTGGTTACGATTTTGGTTTATTTGTCATACTTTTTACCCAAAAGAAATCCCTGTGAATGAGGTAGTATTTACTGAAGGGCCGCTGGGGTTTGCAGTGCTGATCATCCCTGTCTGTTCAAGCTTCATGAGGACCTTTGACATTGGCAGTGAACTGAAAAACAGCAGCAGCAAAAGGAAGCAGTATCATGGATGCAATTGTCACACTTCTGCTACAGTGAGTGAATAAGATGATGGCTTAAACTTCCTTCAGGTTTGCTGTGTTGTTGCAATAGTTTCTGAAATAATATCTCAGATTTGTGTTACTGCTGTCACCTGCTCCTGATTTATCAAATGGTCACTGTTTAATAAGAACTGCATCAGAAAAGCAAATGCAAACATGCTCAAGGAACTTGTACAGTTTCTGAACTCTGAACATCTTTTTGAGTTCTACTAGGTTTTTTTGGGGGACAATTGTTAGCATTAATTTAGTCTGGCCCTGTAATGTCTGTTACATCATGTATCACAGAATAGTTGGGGTAAATATAAGCACACAAAACAAAAACCTAACCCAATTACTGCCTTGATTGTTTGCTGTGCAGAGTGGGAGGATCTGATTAGGCTCCCCTATCCAGATTTTATCCAAATGATCATAAATCATTTTTACTGTTTTACTTACGTATTGCCTTGAGCACTACAGTACATTGCTTGCTTACAATGCTAAACTTGTTATGAAAAAGTCTAATGATTATTGTCCAAAATGTGAAATGGTTGGGTAGAAAGACGGTTCTTCATCCTTTAAAGTATTTCCAACTGCACCACTTGATTCTAAAACGCTTGATTTTAAACTGCGTCCTGTGAAACCACCCCAAAGCTTGAGGAGAGACTGCAGGTCTGCCGGCACCAGTGTTCAATATCCCTCAGAGGAAATAAAGACTCTAAAATGTCATTGTTGCCTTCACAACAATGACAGATACATCCGTTTCGCCTGACATCTACAAGAGTAACCAATATGAATGCGGAGAAATGGCACCAGGATGACAGAGAGAAAGGGAGGATCCTCGTCTCGACTGGTCTAACTGTGGTTAGCCGTGCAGTCGGGTTAGTGTCAATAAGATCTCAACACTGCACCTGAATGGCAGTTTCTCTTTTCAAAACACCTACCTACTTTGTAAAAGCTGTTGAATTTGTTAACATCAACCATGTTGTGTGCAACTCTGAAGAAAGACATCAGATATGTTGTCTGTCCATGTTGGTCCACACCAAGATGTCCAGTTCACAAAACACAGCATCAAACCAGGCTAAATGAATCTCACATAGGTTGGTGTTAGCTCTGAAACAGGAGAAACACTGACCAGAGTCAGGGATAGACCCTGTCTGGCTTTCTTATAGAGATAGTGAAGACATGGGGCAACAGATAGCCGAAGCTATGTCGGGTAATGTTTTACCCTGCTCCAACAAAATCTTAAAGGTGGCAAACTAAGTGGCTCTCAGAGCCAAATGTTTGATACCAGCTAGCCAACATACCAGACTGGTTCGCAAGACATAAAACCTGCTAAATACTCACACAGGTATGGTCAGACAGGACAGAGGAAAGCTTCCCATTTAACTGTCTGTGGAAACACTGGCTTTGAGCGTGACAGCACGACTAAACCCTTACAGACAGACCCGAGGAAAGACAGAGAGGGGGCACGTAAGAATCAGCAAGAGAGGAGGTACTGCAATCTGAGATAGGTGAGGATGAGGGGGAGGATGTGAGGAGGTGGGGAGTAGCAAAGATTCCTGAGGTGTATCAAAAGAGAGCAGAGACTCTTGAGAGTTAATCTGAAAACAAACAAACAAAAAAGATGTGTGCAATCAAATCAAAAGCAAGTTGGCTCAGCTAAATCCAGGTACTCTTCCAAAGTAGGGCGGGGTACTCCTGGAAACACCCTTAAAACTGCAATTCAAATCTGATACCTCTCATAAAATAAACATACAAATGATCTTACTTTGTTAATCTGTTTTTTTTCTAAATACAATTAGACCACATAAAACTGATTTCACAAAATAAAAGCCTAAACAAGAAGAACATGCTCCAAGAATCTGACAGTCTTGAAGCGTTTTAATACCTTCTGATTTGGTACTGATACCAAAAATGACAGGTATCATGAGTGGGTACCTAGCGCTAATCCAGAAAGGTATAAATACATATACTGTATATCCACATCTCCCGGCCAAAGTTAGGCTTATCAGCTACAGATATTATTACTCCACTGACAGTGGACACAGCAAAGCAAAACAGAACAATCACTCTAAATGACAACATCATCGTGGGGGTAAGAAGGAAATCTCAAAGAGACCAAAAGAAAACAAACAAAAGGAGACAGTTATTATTCATAAATCAAAGTGTAGCAACATTAAATGTGAGGCTGAGAGATGGGAGAGAAAAGGGAGAGTATGGCCATGGATATGGAGGCGTTACTGACTACACTACCCATGAGTGTCATGGCAGACTGACTGGATGTCATGAAGAGCCAAGGTTGTGAAAAGTGGGAGCCGTGACTGTGAGCAGGGAGAGGGAGTACTTTAAACGGTGTCCATCTGAACTGAGGTATACCTGGTTGAAGGAGGTTTATGGTTCTGTATCATCGTAATGCTTGAAAATGGGCCCCCCTCCCCCTTTAAAATAAGCTTGATTAACAAGTTGTCTGGGTCCATAATACATTATGTACAGCAGCATTACACTATAAACATTCAGAAGCCGTTGCTTATTGGCAGAACGATAGTCATTTCTTCCAAAAAAAAAAGCACACGAGAAAACAGCAAATGTATCCAGAGCCAGGTGCTCCTCTTTTTTTCTTTTTCTTTTTGTTTTACACTAAATGCACTGAGAGTTCTGTGAAATTTCTCTGCAAGATCTTCTCTCTCTGTAGAAGACCGAGCAGAACAAGTCGCCCTCCTATGTATGTGTATGTATATAAAAACAAGACATGATAAAAGTGTCTGTTGAGTGTCGTTGTCCCAGCATGTCAGCACTGCCACTTGGTGACGTTGTAAATATCCTGAATCGTTTGCTCGAGATGAGTTCTGAAAGTTAACATGTTAAAATCCTCAGGCACACATATCAAAATGAGGTGGATACAAACTGATGTGGTGAGGTGGGCGCAGGGTGTTTCCTGAACGTGAGTAGCGGCCCGCACTTAAAGAAACGAGAAAGAAAGAAAGGAAAAAAAGACAAAAACCAAAGGAAACAGAAAACAACACTACGCCAACCAACCAGGGTCGGCTGTCCATCCTCTTGTGTTGATCCGTGTTTCTGTAAGTTCATCCGGTGTCTTCTGATTGGCAGATCATAAGCTGGACTCCTTGGGTGGGAGGTCCACGTTGGTCACCATGGTGACAACTGTGACGATTTCCTCGGGGCCGATTATGGGGGCCTGGCGCTGCATCTGGCCGATGCGCTCCTCGACGCAGCCGGCAGACAGGCGAGCCTCCGCCTCATGGTCCCAGCAGTCCTCGATGGTTTCACAAAGCATGGCCAGACCCTGAGGGACAGAGGCAGGTCAGCGCTGCTGCCTGTGAAAGCTTCACTGAGAGTTTCCTGTTGTTTCCCACAGATGTTCACATCATAACAAAATGACACTTTCCTTCCATTCTGTTTGTCAAACTACATGACTCATGACAAATTTTCTGCTATGCTATCCTCTGCAACACTGCCTTGGAAAAAGTAACAAATACAAATCTAACTACATTTGATTACTGAATATTTACCTCAAAAAATGTGGTAAACAACTAAATGTAAGCTTTTCTAATGCACTTTATATATCCAGCACATGCCTGAGGACATTTTGGCACCAAATACGATTCTCTTAAGTCTCTTAAAAGCACAACAGTTACACCAACATGGTCTTCTCATCGCTCACCGTGTGTTTCTGCCAGCAGTCCCGCAGGCAAGGCCGCAGTTTCTTATGCACCACGACCTCCTGCATGTCCTCCAGAGATGGATGCTGACCAACCTCCTCCTCAAATGGGAGCATGTACTCGTCCACTGGGCCTGGTAACACACAACAAATTCAAAATAAATATTAATTTATAGGAACATAAACAAACAAAAATCTTGTTGACGCATCCACCTCACTCTCACCGTCGGCAGCTGTGCATCGCGATGCAAGCTCCCAGAGGACGAGGCCAAATGCATACATGTCGATACGCAGGAAGGAGTCACGCTGGAAGTTGATGGCACCCTCCAGGACTTCAGGAGCCATGTAACGCCGTGTTCCCACCTTCAGGTTCAAACAAAGACAAAGGTCACAAAACTAAAGTATAAGTGAGCAAAAACAGAATCAAAGCAGCTCAGAGATGGGCTGAAACTGTGAGAATTGTGCGTGAGCATTTCTGTGTCCTACAGGGGTCTGTTACATTACTGTTATTTTTTGTTCAACTTCAAAACAAGAAACAATCAACACCAGAACCTAAATCTCTCAGGGCCTGTGTAATAACATAAAAGCCTCACAGCCTGTACTGCCACCCATAGGTGCTGTCAGGTATTTTCACATAGTACCTGACAGCACCTATGGGTGGCAGTACAGGCTGAGAGTCTAGTCAGGTATTTTCACAACAGTGACTCAGTAACACTTCTAGTACTCGGGACTCCAGGACAGTCAAAATCATTAGTGTCACCCTTACAACCACTTTCATGTGTTTGTTGCTTTGAGAAGCCTGTCTCCAACATTAAAAGGCAGAAAACATGGTGAACAGCTGGAGGAGGAGTTAAGTTTCATCTCTACCTGTCCGTGTGTATCTCCTACTGATTTTCCAGCTTCAAACTTCAGGGCAAGGCCAAAGTCAGCTATGCAGGCTGTCAGGTTACTCTTCAGTAGCACATTCTTACTCTTAATGTCCCTAAAGAAAGGAACAAGGAAAACACCTTCAGTCTAACAGATCAAGTGTCTTGTAGCCTGAAAATATCAAAGCATGTCAAAATAATCTCCATGTCTTGATAAAAGCTGATAAATTTAGAGGTATTTTGTCATCATACCTGTGAGCGATGGAAGGCTTGTGTCCTTCCTTGTGTCCCGGGATGTCTTCGTGAAGGTAGGCCAGGCCACGGGCCGCCGTCTGGGCAATATGGCACAGCTCGTTCCAGGACACGACACTGGCCTTCAGGTAGTCTGTTAGCGAGCCCTGGAGACATGAAGGCAGAGGAAAGACCCATTCAAATGCTGCTACTGCTATATTTGCCCTGGTCAAAAAGCTTTCCTGTTTAGGCAGTAAAGCCCTTACCTTTAACATTTGCTCTGGTGGAGGATAAAACAAATGCATGAAGATGCCAAGACATGAGTGAAAGGTGAAACAACCTGCTCAGTATATCTAGCTGTGGCCAGGAGATGATTCAACAGGAATCCTAAGTAACAGAATAATTAATGCTAAATAATGATATAGTGATGGCTGATTTGTAATGATTCCCACCTCTCTGGAGCCAGCAATGTTTCCATGGTAACAGCAATACCCCTAATGGGTGGAAATGCACTAAAGCTTGTGGCTAGTGTTGGATTTCACAAAGGATTCAGCGATGGCTTCTGCAGGAACAGATACCTGTCTGATTGTAAAATTCAATACCAAAACGTATCAGCCAAAAAAGATTTGGGGATTTACTTCTGGAGCTTCATATTTCACTTCAGTGTTATAGATAAAATTTACTACATATGGGTTGGCCTCTTAAAACCACAGCGAAGTCACTCCTGTCATCAAGCCAGATCCCTGCACACTTTCTGTTCATGGCAAATAGCACAGCTTTGATAAATGCTACTCATTTATCTACTCATGGTTGTGGTGTTTGATCAACTGTTCTTTAATCTCTATTTATCAAGGGAATGTTTGCTGAGTGAGCAGGCTCTTTATCAGCAAAGACCTGCTTCAGTTTCCAGCTAGCTTTTATACAAAAACTTTGCAGAGACATACTGTATCTTTTACCACTTCTTGTATTCATGGTTGTGGAGCTCTTTAGATACTAGTCACAGCTGCATTAACACTAAAAACTGCAGTAAAGACATATAGAACTATCCAGATTTGGCAACAAGGGAAAAAATATATGATCAAGATTTCAACCTTATTATTTAAGCTGCATCTGTTTACCTCCTCTGTTCTTATATAACATACTGTATGTCAGTATGGCACAAGGTCACATCTAGCAAGGCAAAGACAGATGTAATCATACAAAGTAACCAGTAGAGGGCAGACAGCTCCAACAGATGAGGATAAATACAATCTAATCATCAGCTGTCCTGCTTTTAGATCAGTGCTTTAAACCTGTGTACATTCAATATTTTCACTGTTTTATTTCACAAATGTGAAAATGCAAACAGAAATAATACTATATGCTTCTGAAAGGAAACCACTGACAGCTATTAATATCCATGCATTATACAAGATATGAAAAGACTCAAACACAGGGAGTCTTGGAGGGGTTTCTCTCCTTTGAGGCGAGCCTCTGCATGCTACAGATACTTTTAATCTTACCACACCAATCTGCTTAGATGCATCAAATGCTGAGGCATAAATCAACTGTTGAAGAAACACTGAACTCTGCGATCACTGCTCCAGTTGTGCTACACAAGCTAAGAGGTGCCCGACATTTTGACTCCTGCTCAGTTATCAGTCAAACTTTAAGTTTTGAATCCTATAAAGACCACTTCGTAAACAATAATGACTGTACATGCTTGACATTTACTGTACTTATGATATAGTGCTGGTAGTATGACCTTTCATAAAACTCTTTTCAAACTAATTCCTTCAGTGTTATTTGCACTGAGAGAGCTTGAACAAATCAGAGCAGCCTGTGTAGACTTGGGTTATGTGGCTTACTAAGAGCTGTAATGCTGGGTTAAAGCCTCACGGCCACACTCACGGCCACACCCACAGCCTTTCATTTTTCAACCTTTATTCACACAGGAAAGGTTTCCTAAGTACGCAGATTCAGACTCTTAGCCTGACTGGGAAATTCAAGCAAGTGAAGCAAGAAGAATTGCTCTCCACTTCATTGGTAATGACCCTCAAAACACAGAGGCACTTAGAGCCCCAAACCTACAAAGCTACTGTGGCTGAAAGGGTGAATGATGCACGAGAGGGTGAACAAAGCTCAAGTCCACCTTTTCTGGATAAACAAGTCTAAAAAAACAACATAAAGTAGCTATAGTGTATTTATGGATTAGCTCTTTATGCACCAAACAGTCAATACAATGTAGAAGTTTCATGAATGTTTCCCCCTTTTCCAGTGCTTACAACTCTCTCAGCTGCCTACCCCAGATCCTTTTACTGTACACCCTTTCGGTGTACAGTAAGCACAAGACGATACACTAGGACCATTATATCAGTGTGTTTACCTGGGCGCAAACAACCTGGCTAGTGGAACAATTCAGAGCAGTAGCATTAGCTTTGCCAGGTTTAATGTCAAATATGATTTTAAATGATATTTTTAACCTTTCTTTCACCCTTCTTTATTAGCTTTACTTGCATGTGCTGCTTGGGTGAAAAGGGTGCAAACATTTATTCAAAACTTGAGGAATCTAAAACCTCAAACACGCACAACCAGTGTGAGAAAAGCCGGTTTTTCAGTTGCTCAGAATGTTGAGGCAGCTAAATCTACTAATGTAAAATGTTTAATCTGGACGAGGTTTGTCTCGGCTTGTGATTCAACTGTATTACAGAATACATGTTTCCTGCATAATGTACAACCACCTCTATGTGCACAGCTCAAAACTGTGAGATTTTAAAAAGCCAAAAAAAAAAAAAAAAAAAAGAAGCAGTTTGCTGCTGGTGGTGTGTCTGTCTCAGACAGCGTACCTTGTCATGGTAGGCGGTGATGAGCCACAGCTCCAGGTCCAGGTTGTTGTTCCTCTTCTCCACGCCAATGAAATGGAGGATGTTTTCGTGCTTCATGCCGCTCACGCTGTAGATCTCATACTCGCTCTGCCAAGACAGCTTGTCCTAGACGGGAGCAGAGAGACAAATGCAGATGTTATTTCTGCTAGCTACCTGGCCACAAAAGTTTTATTTATAGCTTGCAGAAGAAAAGTAAGGCAGGTGAGAAATAGTCAAATCAAATCAAATTTATTTATATAGCACTTTAAAAACAACATCTAGTTGACCAAAGTACTTTACATGGCAGAATAAAATCACGATAATTAACTAAAATAAAATAGATTCAGTGCAAAAAAAAGAACAACTCAGACACACAGATGACACACATTCGATAAATTAGATTCAAAGGAATGCATCAGGCGCATAAATTCAGTGAGTTAAGATGGAGCCAAACCATTAAGAGCATTAAAAACAAAAATCAGCATCTTAAAATCGATTCTAAAACAGACTGGAAGCCAGTGGAGAGAAGCCAGTACCGGGGTTATATGCTAAAATTTTCTGGTACTTATCAGAAGACAAGCAGCAGCATTTTGAACCATCTGAAGTTGAGAGAGGGAGGACTGGTCAACACAATAATAACTTTTGACATAAAAAGTAATTTAGACACTGGTCTAAAATTAGAGAACACTAAAGGGTCAAGATTTGGCTTTTTGAGAAGAGGCTGGACAATTGCTTTTTTAAAAGCATCTGGAACTGAGCCTGTCCTTAAACACAAATTAATTAGAGCCATAAAGCTAGGCTCAACCGAATCAAAAACATCCTGAAACAATCTAGTTGGCAAACAATCCAAAGAACAGTGAGATGTTTTCATGTGGTGAACCAGTTCAGATAGCAGAGGTAAAGATACAGACTCAAACTGGTCAAAGACAGCAGAATGCAGAGGAATATCAGCTGGGTCAGGATTAGTAGGACTGGAGGACTGCCTAATGCTAGTGATTTTATCAGTAAAACACTGAAGAAAACCCTCATACTGCTACAGATGCCTCGGGATGAGAAGCAAGGTTACACAGCTTGATAACAGAATTAATTGTACTGAACAAGACCTGAGGTTTATGATGATTACTGACCACAATGTTGGACAAATAGTTTGATTTGGCAGATTTTACAGCCTTCTGATAGTCAGAGACAATCCCAGAAATGGCGGCGAGAAACATGAAGTTTATCCTATCTAAATAGTGTTAGAAATGATTAACCATAACGGAAAATCCGAACTTCTATAACTAACAAACATTACAAAAAAAACACGGGTTTAAACTGATGAGCTTTGATTGTTAAAACACTTGAAAAACTCAAATCTACCTCTATGCTTCACAGGAGAGGTCAGAAATCAACAAAGCTTCACATTCCAGGTACATACCTGAATCGGGAAGATCTTAACGGCCACATATTCATTCAGCAGCTGGGCCTTCCACACACATCCAAAGCGCCCCCTTGCTTTCACCTCAATCAGCTGCAGTGGCTTGTGTCCCAAAACAGGGGATGGAGGTGAGGGTCCAGGATCCTGCAGGGAGATATCAAAAAAAGAAAAACAAAACAGAAGACAAAGTTATTCTATAATTTTGTGCAGCGCACTGAAGTAGCATTGGCTTGAACCGAAGGTGACCGGGCTTTTGGCTCAGCAACAGTGTGCCTGAGGAGCTTCCACCAGCAGAACCACCATCATCTTCAATCACATCGTACAACTGACATTTACAGACTCAGTTTTAACGTGATGATTTTCTCCTATTATTTTTTGCCAACATACTGCTTTAGCCTCTTTTTTATATTTTATACTGTGGTGCTTTTTTCCCCATGTTTTGCTTATTTTATGGGCCTGTTTGCTTTTTCTTTTACCATTAAAGCACTTTGTAAAGTCTGGTTTTAGAAAGTGCTGCTTGTTTAAGTTTAGCATCATTATTACTGTGACATTTTTGGCAGTGAGGCCACAGCACACCAAGCTGAGTTTGTATTCATTCATTTTAAATTCAAAAAGCCCTCATGGCTGTATTTGCTCGAGTTCACAGAAGCAGGATTGTGACTGGAAGGTTGCCAGATTAAATTCAATGAGCCGATGTAGAAAAGTAGGTGGCGAAAGATCTGAAACGTTCATCACCCCTGAGCGAGGCACATGAAGTGTAGATGAGGCTTTAATGTGAATCAGTGTGAAGCAAGGCAGGCTTAACTACTGAATAAAAGGTTCAATAAAAACACTTAGGGAGCACTGTGTCGAACCCTGATGGGTCAAACCTCATGCATGCACTGTGCGGTCATGCTAATCCCATATAAACAAAAGTGACAGCAAGAAAGCCAAGTGTTTCAAATTTTAAGTAGGTTAAACACAGCTGGTGATCAGGATTAAGCTGATCACTTTCACATGTGACTTCACAAAGAAGGACAGAGGGCGAGCGAGGATAGAGAAACACAGAGAGAGAGAGAGAGAAAGGAGAAGGAAGCATGCAGGGAGGGAGTCGCATTTCCAAAGGATAAAAGATAGAGGAGAAGGACTTGCACATGACTGATGGCCTTTGATGAAATCAGATATGCTGCTGTAAAATCTCGACTTTATTTCCATTCCTCTGCATCACTGCCGTCAAGGAAAAAGAAAAAGCTTTCCCCTTTCAACGCTGCCGGTGTTCATGTTTTTACTTGAGCAAGGTGCTTGATAAGCTGGAACAAGTTTCAACACCTTGAGGCCCACAGGATGCACTCAAACACCGTAATATTATATCAAAAGTGTACACTTGTCGGTCCAGGTCTGTTTTTCTACTTTCCTGTAAAATGCCCCCTTTGTGTTACAAGCTTTGCTATTGATAAGTGTGACAAAGAAGATTTAACAGAGGGAAACAACACTCACACCAATGAGTTATCTTGTTGTCTGGTTGGGTGAGAAGCTACATTACAGCACACACCTTACTTTTGCTTAATTTACTGCTGAGGTTTTGGCACTGAACCTTTCTTAAAGACAAACACTGGTGATACCCAAGTCTTCCCACTGTGAAAAATGAGCTAAAGCTGTGCTACTGGGCATTTAACTGCAAAAGCAATAAAACAGGGGAGAAGAGGCTTCAGCTTTTACCTCCTGTCCTGACAAGATTACTGTGGCTACAGGAGCAAACTGTATATCATTTATCAGCATTTATGGTGTTGTTTTTAATCAGGTGGAAATTGTATTCCTAGTCATGAGCTTTGGCCTTCAGTGCACACAAGAAGAAGCCACGGTCTCACAGATACAAAAAGGTTCTGAGTAAGATTCCCCTATAATTATTAAGTTATCTTTGTCTAATGATCAGCCATGATATACTCTTTTCCAAAAAAGGATCTGTGAAAAAAAAATCAGGATTATAAAATAAAATAAACATTGTTTGGGATTTATTCTTGCAGAGGTTTGCTGAAGGTTATGAAATGGAAAATTAGAAACAAAAAAGGGATTTGAAACCAAGACCTTGCTATTAAAAAATAAACATTTTGCACAGTCTGTTCATTACAACATTTAGCATAAATATTGCTGTTCAAATGCTGCTCAATAAGATTTTAAACTAAAGTGAAATAGGTAAAAGGCAAAGTGAGTAGAGAAAACAAATACTGACAGATGATGTCTAAGTTTTAAGAACTCCTATATGCAAGTAGCCCACATTACTGTAGTAGCAGCTGCAGATATCTGCTCAGTTAACAAGAAACTTAGTGGGAGTGAAGGAAGAACTACTGCCTGTTGTTTTTTGGTATAAACACAAAGCGCAGACTGTCCATGTCTTTCAGTAGCTGCTCGGCAGTGCAGGGCGAATGGAAGTGAGAAGTGGTTTGTTTACTTAAACCTCCTCCCTCTAACAGAGAGCTGCGAAGCAGACCCGCTGTCTCTACACTCTACTTCCACGTCGAACACCAGCCAAATGACATGGAAAAAGGAGTTTAGCTTGGCTTACAGACTGGTCCAAACGGTCCTAAGTTGACACCTTTAAAAGCATCTTCAAGAAGCCACTGGACTATCCAAAATAATGAATGCACATTTCATAGAAATGTTTCTCCACCTCTGTTTTTAATGCTGTTTTGTCTGCGGAAGAACGTAAACTGTCAAACTGTCACTGAGGAACAGAGGAATTGACTGGCTTATGATTCAAATAGAGTGCAGTGTATTAAGGTTATATTCATATCATTATATCAGAAACATAGCTTCCAGTTTGGTGAGTGACCCTTATTGATTTTTCCACTACAGACAAATGCTGTAATTTCAGAGCTGGTCTGTGAAAGCAGCCCTTAAAGAATAACTGACACCGAGTGAACTGAGGTGTGGTTTCTCTCAGTTTGGAAGTTTACATAAACCTGCAGCAGAACACAAGATAAAAGTGAATTTGGGTAGTTTGTCCATTCTGACAATGGATGAAAATGAATTAAACAACCTTACATGACCTGTAGTTGAAAGGCATGTAGATGCAACATACTGCAGCAATGGGTGACTAATTAAAGGAAAAACCTGGGTTGTGTTCATAAAAACCCCCCCCCCCCCCCCCCCCATCCAAAAGACATGAGGGGTCACTGACTGGTCTGATGAGGATGACCATGATGTGGATCACATGCTGTGGCCTTCCCAGTCACCAGGTCTCAGCCCAGCTGAACAGCTATGGGAGATTTTGGAGCAACGTGTTAGGCAGGACTCTTTCTATTTTTGGTTCCGCATTGATGGGTCCGCATTGTTTCTGGAAACTCATCTGTCTTCAGGGCTTTGGCCTGATGAGGTGGCCTGGCCCGGCCTATCCTCCCTTGGGAGTCACCAGATCCTTTGTCCGATCACAGAGTACCGTTGCCTCAGATCGGGGCGCATTACACTTAGTCAGCAGACCACAGGAAACAGGAAAACAGAATATGCTGCTTCATGCCGTTCTTTGCAACCCCCAACCATCTCCATGACCTAATCAGGTTACGCCTTCATCTATTACATCACAGTAAGTCCCTTTAGTCCTGGTTTGGTCTGTCCTGGATTTGATGCCACTGTTGATATAACCTAAAAAAAAAAAAGCTAACCTGAAACCATGAAGTGACAGTAAGCCAGGGTCTAAATTCCCCCAGACAGTATGTGTTGTATTTTGTGAGCCTCTTAACTCTTTCTTCCATGAGAACTTCCAGTGATGTCTACAACCCCATTCTTCTACTTCAAATTGGTGCCTTTTAAGCCAAAGTACATTAGCAAAAGTTCCTCTTGTAATTCAGTAATGTACACTCTGACTTGAAAACTGTTCCAGGTAAGAGGCAATGCTCATGCTTATGCACAATGTATGTGCACACCTCCTCAGTGTGCATGTGAAATGGAAAAGAACACGGTAGCTTCAAGTTTCAAAAACCTCTACTCTGTCTCTGCATGGAAAATATGGTGAGCCATAAGGCTAGAGATAGTATTCTGGAAATTGGGTCACATCACTCTCACTCACTCACTCACTCACTCACTCACACACTCACACACACAACACACTCACTCACTCACACAACACACATGCATACTGTGCTTTACATGAACACCACAGGTGGACATTCATACAAAAGAGAGGGCTGCATTCGGAGCCATGTTGGCCATTTTCCACCATGCACAATACATTTTCAGCAGGGAACACAAAAGACATCCATCCATGCAATAAATCCAGGCAGGAAAAAAAATCAACAGACAGAAATGTGTTACAAACTGAGTAAACAAGATGCTGTCAAAAAAGCAAAGAGAAGAACAAAATGGTGGTCTGGGACTGAGGCGGAGAATTCATACCAAGCTCTGAACCCAAAAA